CAGTAAACAAGGGTTTCATATGCCATGGAACTGTTTTTCAATCCTTCTAACTCTTAATAAAACCAAAAGTTAAACATGCCAATTCTATAGCAATTTTGTTAAAACTGAAAGCCTAGACACAAACAATTGCTTGGCTAATTCAAATCCATTAAATGAAATTCAGCTTTAGGTATGCTTTTTGTCCCTTCCTTTTTGGGGTTCACTAGAACTAAAGGTGCAAGCCCAGCTATTATTAAATCATCTTATGTGATTTGAGTTCGACTGACTTTTTGGAACTGATGCAATGTTTTAAAAGATTCATGGCTTTATTAAAATAAAAAAAACTGCCTAATTAATTTCTTTTTTTTGCCATATGGAGGGATCATAAATTATGACTTTAACAGTTGATTTATATTTTCAAATGTGGGGATTAACAATTATTTGCTTATTTTTCCTCCATGAAATCTATGTAGAGTCCTTAGTGCAACCCAGCATGAGTTTTTTGTTTTTCTTCTTCTTTAACAAAATCCAGTTTACCTGTTGGTATATTTTCCAATATTCTAAAACTGCAATTTGGTATATTGCTTGAACACCAGCTAGCTTTTTCCTCCTTTCTATTTGTTTATTTTTAACAATTTTGCCTGATGACAAAAATCACTGGAAACTCAAAAAACCTGCAGCTATTTTGTAAACCTTCAAATGAGCTTCATCTCTGGAAACAAGGTAGCAAGTTATGGAATTTTACTGTACCTTAAAGACTAATTAAAATATTGTGCATGAGCTTTTGTGACCCAAGCAATAAAAATACACCAGCACTCATCTCCTTTCTTCATAGCATATAGCCTCTCCTGATTTAAACTTTGAAGTTTTTCTTATGGTTCCTTAATTGACTGTTCTTTTTTCAGATAGTTTTTTTCTCAGTCTATTCCCGACTCTTTACACTACTCTCTGTCCTTTGGGCATTTTATCTATTAGTTTCCCTAAGGTAAATTTTCCCAGTTCTTCAGTTTGTTCCTCTAATTTCCACCAAACATATAGCTCTTCCTTTCTTACAAAAGCTGGATTACAGAAATCTAGAATTCCTTGAGCAATTATACTGAAATATATTATTTTATGCCATCACATCAATTCAGCCAATTGGAGTCACAGAAGTCTTCATCATAGGTCCTGCAATCTTTCCTGGACAGGGATGCGGTAATCAATAGTCTGGTGATGCCAGATTCAATTGCTGCAATTGCTTTGTGTGGTTTTGCTCTTGAAGACAACTTAAAATCTGAAACTGGTGTAGAATGTGCCAATGAGTCTACTTTCAGGAACATTTTTAGAGGCCCCATAACATCTATTACTATATGTATAATGGTTATAGATGTTTCAAGTTTTTAAAGTATTATTTGTATTTTACTTTAGTATTTTAATCTATGTACCTTTTGAACTGTATTTTGCTCATCTGAAATCTAACATTGTAAGCCTTAATGATTAGTTGAATAAGAAATACAAAGGATAAAGTCCAAACTTTTGCCTGTGATTATTTTTAAGATATAGCAGATACTATTTTGTATCATGTGATATATTAAGTCTCAAATTATTTAGGACTTAATGGAGACCTTTGGGTACCACCTGAAAATTATTTTCTTTGAAATACTGAGAGAATCTGCTGTGGTGCCAGGGAATCTCATCTTCTATTGCTCTGAACACCAGATTATTTTCAAAGATTTCTGATCCTTTATCTGTTTTTCTTTTATATTCTGAATAGTTAGCAATTATTGTAATTATACATAATTAGCCATTTTTGTTTGCTTGTTTGAGGCTTGCTCTAGCTTTGACAGCTCTGATGTGATGAAAGTGACATAAATGTTGATTTTCTCTAAGTACAGGAGTATTGACCAGGATATTTTCTTCACTTCCAGGTTGGACTAGTGTTGATCTTTTCCATGTACTACAGCAGAGTTAAAAACTATTTTGTGACCAGGGTCTTTACTTCTCTCTCTTTCTGTTTCTCTCTGGTAGCTAATACCAGGCATATGGTGACTTGGTGACATCACCAGAGTGGGAAGAGATAGAATTCTACCCCTGATCTGTATTTTTCTTTTTAAAGTAAAATAGGCACACTAAGCTAATTAGCTGTAAAATACCCATCCCATTCAAGCCCCTTATGCCCCATGTCAGTATAAGTAGGGAGCTTATTACTAAATTTTAGCAACAGATTCTCTGGGGCAGAGGTTTCCAAGAGTCATAAAATACCAAACCCAAAAGTCCTGTGCATGGCTTGAAAACTGGATTTATTAGAAAGATATGTGTAGAAAGGCAGTCTTCCTGAGGAACAACACAAACCACTAAGTTGTACTACATAATTTATATTTCCAACATACTTGGTTTAAAATTTTTACAAGCAATATATAACAAAACAACAATGCTGTGTTGTCTGTAGCTCACTTTGCAACAAAATGATTTCCTCATAGTTCATCTACATAGAATAGCATTCTACAGGGTCTGATAAAGATTTTAATCAAATGTATTTGGTTGAATAAATTATACTTTAGAGTACTACAGAGATTCACTTTTTCTATTTCTGCATTTCTTCTTTTCTCCTATGTATAATTCTCCAAGCTAAATTCTTTAAATATCATCCCAGATTATTTTATTTATTTAGCCTATTCATGTGCTACCAACTCCTTTAATAGTTCAAGGCAGCCACGAATCTCCCCCAATCCAATATCACATTTTTTTCACTCTTAAGTGAAGCTACAACAGAAAATGAAAGTGGCTCATAAGACTTATTCTCACTCAGAAAGTAAGCCAAGGGAATGGAATGGAACAAAGCAATCTATTATTAGAGCCAATGTTGTGCAATAGGGATTTTGCTAGACCAGGAATACAAGGGCTAAGTGCCCCCTTATGTGTGAAGCTCAGTGGGTAACCTTGGCCAGCTACATATACTCACTCTAAGCTGATTCTTTGGTCTGTTAATGAAGAAATAGGAAGGAGATATAATGTATGCAACTCTGAGGTCCTTGGAGGATAAAAATATAAATAACAAAATGGTATTTTAGGTTAAACAAGGTAAGATGTCATAAGATCAAAGGCTCTATAGAAAGGAAAATATTCTAGCCCTCTTCTTATTACTTCACCATCTTCTATCAGCACAGCAAAAGGAAAGATATAATTCTGAAAATTAGGCTAATTTGCATATGGTAGGTTAAACTCTCTCTTCTTGATTGCTTAATGAATATACTGGAGACCTTAAATCTTGCTTAGAACTAAAATAATTATAAACAGTATTAGGAATAATCCTGGACAATATGTATAAACCTTGTAAAGTTGCATTATTTTAGAAAGACAATCTAAAAATATTCTATTATTGTTGTATATTCCCTTGGGAAAAGACTAGCAGCTATTGCCTTCTTAACACTAAATGGCTGCAGGAGCCAACCAAGCCACTCCCCTTCATATGCCTTGGTCAGGCTGCTTGCAGGCAAATTTTCTGCAAGCACTTACAACTAGCAGTGACATAAAATGATAAATAGCTTAGTGGAGTCCCTCACACATAAGCTCTGAAAATATTTCCAAGGTAAACTAACAATAATTCTCCAAGCAACACTAATTCAGAGCACTGCTGGGGAAGGAGTCAGATATCTGCTGCACCATTTTCTAAGGCTTGCTAGTCCCAGCTGTCTGTACTGAATACCAGGGACATAGAAGGAACTTTGGAGGTCTTCTAGTTCAACTCACTGCCAGGGCAAGTATTCTCAGACCATCCCAAACAAATAGCTGTCCAACCTTTGTTTAAAATCCCCCAGTGATGGAGCATTTATGGGTCCAGGAGGCAGGCTGTTCTACTGTTTAATAGCTCTTACAATGAGAAAATTCCTCCTTATTTTAAGTTTGGATCTCTTTCTGTAAAGTTTACATCCATAGGTTCTTGTCGTCATAGTCATCACAGTCCCTCGGGCACTATGGAAAATAAATCTACACTGTCTTCCCTGGGATAGCTTTTTAAATATTGGAAGATTGGTGTCACGTCTTCCCTTAGCCTTCTCTTCTTTACGCTAAACATACTCAGCTCTACATAGCATTTAGCCTCCAAGCCCTTCACCATCTTTGTTGTCCTGAGTTGTTTCCCCACTAAGAGCTTGTTTGGGTTGGGATTAATTGTCCCTTTTCTTCCTCACTGAAGGCTTTGTTTTCTTGTAAGAAGTGTGAGTTCTTTTCTTCTTATGAGCAATTTTACAGTACTAATCTGACAAGTTAAGGTGGTAGAAGAGGGATATCTTTCTGTTTACCATCTGGCAGCTTGTCTTCTGTCCAATTCAGTCATGTTGCGGGAGCGAAAAATGCTTGGCAAGAATTGGTGAAGTGGATGTTGTATGGACAAGACTCAGGAGCAGGGAAGTTCCAGGAGAAGGAGAGAGCAGGCAGAAGCAGACTGAATCAGTGGGAGTTGATTTTTTTGTGTGTGGTTAGAGTTCTACAAGCTAATGCCAATGAAGCCTTACTAGTACTCTCCTGCTGTTAGGGCTTGCATAGGATATTACACAGTTCCTGGAGAAAATGAGTGAGGGCTCTGTTTCTAAAATAATTATTTTTTAGTCCAGTTAATTTGATTTTGCATTGCTAGAACCACCCTCAAGGAGATTTGAATAGGTTTGTGATTGAATAGGTTAAATGTTTGTCAGAACAGGATGTATGTGGAAGAAGTACATTTTGAGGGTGTTAGGATCTAGTTAATTACTAGAATGAGAACTGAAAAGATACATTCCATTAATATAAGATAAACATATAATAATATACTATGACAATAAGCTTGGTTATTTCATCCATATATGCATACATATAATATATGGAATTTTGTTGCCATAAGATAAACATTAATTTTGATTTAAGGCTAGGTCTATTGCAACCTATACATATCTCTTTCAACATAGGTTGTTTCTCCATAAATTGCTTCTGGAAATCTTCCTTTTTTGGCAGCAAAATCTTGATTCTTGAACTTTAAAATAATTATACACATTCCCTTTCCTCAGGTCTGATTTTTCGAAAGCACGAATATATCCATACTGAATGAAGCAGTGGGAACTGGAACAGAGCATGGCAAATACCTTTGTAACAGTATCTGATGGATACTGCCTTAGCGAGCCAATACAGTATTATGGTGAGTAAAAAAGGGAAATTGCCAAGAAAATATGTGTGTTAGTAAAAACAGGAATTTCCATAATTCTTAAATACCTGTTCTGGATCATATACGAAGAATATTGAAAGGTTACTTGGGATGCCATTTTAAATTTGAGGGAGTCAAACAAATTTTCTCCAAAATACACATGCATGTATATGATTCACAGCAAGATTCAAAGGTCTGTTTTGAGTTGGATGCCATGAAGGTTATTCAGATGATAAATTCAGTAGATATTTTAAGGTATTTATACTTCTTAAGATCTTTTACAAATGTTATTTTTATACTTAATAAAATGCCTGCATTGTTATCCAGATGTTTATTCTTGGTGGATAATGTCAAGGTCATTCCTGGATTATATTCTTTAAATCACAGGGGACTGAATCTCCTTCAAGTACAGGACACCTTTAAACAGAAGCCTCTCCTCTCATAGCCTTTCGATAGTACAGTGTTCCTGGAAAAACTGATCACATGACAATAATAACACTTACTAAAGGACAAGTGTTTCAGAGTCAATATATTAATGGTTCTACTGTGAAACTCAGCTTACTTTAATTTTACAAAAATATTCTCTAAAGGTGAACTCTTCAGAAAGGGAAGTATTGTCTACAGAAGTTTCTAAAAGCAGATTCCATGTCTGAAAATAATTCTAGCAATATGCTTAATTTCTAGTTGATATTATAAAAATGACAATTTCATTCACTCTGTTTCTTCATTTTTTAACTTTCCTCTTGGGATGTGTTTTCTACACTGTTAGCTTGAGGCTATCATGTTTTTACTGCTTGTACATAAATCATTTTTTAACCAAATAGCAAAATATTTAATTAGATGTATAAATATTATAAATAGTTTGCAATTAAACATGTAAAATTCTAAATTAATCTGTTTGTGATTTTTTTTCAAAACAATCCAGATGTCTTACCAGAACATATCAGCTATCCAGTGCAAGACCTTGACTTCCAAGCTGCTCCTTACTGCCAATATTCAACTGTTCAGTTCCCTCCAATATTACAGACACCATCTCCACAGACTCATTACAATTCATACAACTTGGACTCTCAGTTCAGCGATGGTCAATACATCATCAACAGTTGTGAACTCAGTAAACCCACCTGCATGGGTGCCCATCATGATGGGGGAGGATACCCTGGACAGAAACGACCTAGGCTTAATCATTCTGCCTTACGAATAAAAGGGCAAGAAGAGCTCTGTGTAGTTTGTGGAGACAAGGCTTCAGGATATCATTACAATGCACTCACCTGTGAAGGCTGTAAAGGTAATAAGAAAATAATATTATATCTTAAGTGAGACTGACATTTGAAAGGTTTAGGAATGCAGTGCCAAATACTGATTATTCAAAATACAGGAGATGAGTTAAGGACATAAGGGGACAGAAATTGGTGTTGGACACTGTTTGTAGGATTCTAATGTCTAAGCATCTTATAGGAAGGAAATGATATTATTGGTAAAAGTCAGAGATCTTTAGACAGTTGATGGCATTAGAGCCACAGGAGTAAAGATCAAAAGTAGGAAGTTGGGGGCTATTAAGAAAATAAAATAATGAGGATACTGAAGATGAACAAACTTAATCTGGAGATTGTCTGATATTTTCCCCTCAATACAGTCTTCATCAATCTGGTGCCTGCCAGCTGTGCTGATCAGGTCTAGTACTGACATAACAGTGTTAAAATTTTCACCCACCCATGAAACTCAGTGAGAAACCTTGGTGTAATGAAATTTCTCAGAAATTCAGCCTAAACTGGCTATTGTGAAGATAAACAGGTGGCGGTCAGGGGATAACTAGGCCTGTTTAGAGGGTAAAAATGTCTAAACTACTATAAATCATTGTTAAGTTAATAACAATAAATCATCAACTGCAAATAATTGCCTTAATATTATCATTTCTTACTAATTAAATCCATGTAATTCAAAAGTAAGATACGTTGAATTCAAAGGAGCTCACTTCCTTGTAAAAAATTCTATATTAGATTTGTAAAAAAATTAATTTTCTATCTTATTTGTTGACATGCTATTTTTGGCACAGTATATAACCTTAGTATATCTAACACTATAAATTAAAGTAAGTTGATGTATGGTTTATTATTTGTCATAATCTGAAATACCTGTTGTAAGGATTTTTTCGACGGAGCATCACCAAAAATGCAATATACAGATGCAAGAGTGGAGGTCATTGTGAAATGGATATGTATATGAGGAGGAAATGCCAGGAATGTCGCCTAAAGAAATGTAAAGCTGTGGGAATGCTGGCTGAATGTGAGTGCCAAAATTACTTTTCTCTGGTTTTTGATGTGCTACTTAGATTAGGAACATTTCTAGATAAATTGCACATCCATGGAATAGGTTATATTAATCTAGATGCAGTAATTGTTAATACAGTATCAAACTTACGTGGCTTAAAACAGAGCCACATATTTACAATACAGCCTAAATATCAACACAGTTCTGAAATATACTTATGAATTTTGGTATAAATTCTTATAGGTTTACTAACTGAAGTCCAATGTAAATCAAAACGTCTCAGAAAAAAGAGTAGTTTCCTTTGTAACATCAAAATGGAAGATGAGGGAATGGACAACAAGCATGTATCTTCTACAACCAAACTTTTAAAAGTAGGGTCATATTTCATATTTTATTATTGAATTTAATTATAGTATTTTGCATTGTAGTAATCATAACTTTTTTTCTAAAGGTACAGGAAAGAATGGAATTTACTCCTGCAGAACATGAACTCATTGATCATATTTTGGCTGCCCACCAAAAATGCACAATTCCAATGGAGGAAGCAAAGAAATTTGTATGTGCTAATAAATTAATGTTACCAAGATATTTCTTGAGAAATTTGGTATTCTAATTTTGGAATGGCATATAGGCTCATTCTAAATATTTTTAATTAGTTACAGGAAAATGCTAATCCAGAAGAAAATTTTCTACGTCTTTCGGAAACAGCAATGGTTCATGTGCAGGTCCTAGTAGATTTTACAAAAAGACTCCCAGGTAACATTTTTTATACAGCATTTTACAAAGTAGTTCTTATCAATCTCTTTACCTGACTCAAAATATGTACATACTTCTGGTATATTACTTTATACCAATTTAATCTCTATGGCCTCAGATGGCAGGACCTGGCTGACTTTAACTGGGTTTGGAAGGTGGGAAATTACAAAAACATCCCAGAGCATAATGGCAAACTACAGGGTTTTCTCACTTTATGCAAATTTGTTTTATGTGGGAAAAAAAAAGAAGTTATGATGTGATTTGTGCCAGCATAATCAATGTGCACCAAAGGTCAGGAAACATGTCAAGACTTCTTGCCAAATCCACTTGAACATTTTCTTACCAAAACGCTTTTCTGCCCTTGCTCATGTGTTTACCACTGTGTTGTATAGCTGTTCCAGGTGTTTGTCCTGTCTCCCACTTATTTCTGTCCCTGCAATAGCCACTACTATTACTATGGAGTTAAAATGGCCATCAATATCTTGTCCAATTGACTTTAAATTGTCACTGCTATGATGCATCTACTCCAGCGGCATTAGTAGGGGGTTGAAAAAAGTCAAGATGGTGGTTGTGGCAGTGTAATCAAAGCCACACTGTGAGGGAATGAAGTTGGGATTGCTTGGGAAAAGCAGTTGCTGCTAGGCAGAAATGCTTCCCACCCCACTTCCCTCATTCATTCACTCACTCACTCACGCACTCACAACTTTTCTCACAAGCTTCTATGCTGGTATTCCAGCTGCCTGTAATAATTGAGCCACACCCTGTTGTTTTCAAGGACATGCCGACATCCAGAGGCAGCCTCACCCCACCCAGGCCCTTAGCTTACAAAAACAACTACTAAGACAAAGTGAGGGGGGGGGGAGGAGAAAAGGAGATAAGCAAATGGCATGCAGAGGGGAGAGCGGAGGCAATGTCTGGAGATTGGCAAGTATTACAAGCAGACACGAGGACTAATTAGTCAACTGCCAGGACCACAAGCTATGGTGAGCATCATATCCTGGCAGGAGTCCTGCATGGAGCTTTCCCAGGAGTTTGGTAGCAATTAGAAGAAGAAGAACCACACTGAGACAGCACTTCAGCCCAACTAGTGTAAGAACTTTTGGAAGGAGGCAAAGATTGTATTCCACTTTGCAGCCTTTGATTCTTCTGCTTGAACTGAATATTAAAGGACTGAGTATTAAAGACATATTTACATGGCAACAACACCTTGCAAGTCCTAGAAGAGTGGAGAGCAATAGTCTATTGTTGGGGAAGGTGTGTGCTGTGTGTGCTGCAATAAAGCACTGTGTACAGATTTCCTATGCTGTGGTGTGTCTGGTCCTTGGAAAGTGAAGAACTCTCACACATACTCCTTATATCTGCGTGCAGTGTTAATGCACACAAAAAAAGGGGCAAGGCTTCAATTATGCTGCTGTGACCACCATCTTGACTTTTTGATGTCTCCTCTGGATACTGCTGGTCTACTCTAAGTATAAATAAGTTTGGACCCAACAGAAACTGCTGTTAATTGATCTAATCAGGCTTTCCCAATTTTTTTTATGTTTTGGATTATGATTTTTATAATTCTTGACACTGGATATATTGCCTAGGTGACAGTATTTGTAGTCCAAGATATTTGATGGGACCCAAATTGGAGAAAGTCTTAGATATAAGAATCAATTTAAGTATGTGCCACTCCTGTGCTGTTCATGTCCATTCCAATGAGTCTGGCCTATTTTAACCACTCTACTGCTGGATCTGGGACATTCCTCTGGTGCTTTTGTCACAGCAGTGATACTACCAACTTTTCCACTTGCTAGAGGAGTTTCTGCGAATCCATAGCCCATGCTGTATTCTTAATCTTCTTAAGTATTTGGAATTCCCTTCAGTTCTATATTTAACGTTTACGTAGTACTTACAGTATAAAATTATTAGAAGTTGCATAGGCAACTTGCTACCTTACATTTTCACAATGCACAATAATTTAAAAAATTATTTGAAGTATCTGTAATTGTCTTATTCAGATTCACAATGTTCTTTCTCAGAGCATTCTGAGCATCAGAACTTCTGAGATTACTAAAACCCTGCATGATTCCTTCTGGATAGGTGTGGACTGAGAAGTTATTTCTATTTCTTCTTTTCTTCTCTTCAACTTACAAGTGGGAGAATGTTTCTAGACTAGCAAAGATTGCATATCAGTTTGGAGGCTAGCCCCTTTTAGCTTGCTCCCTGGCAAATTCAAGGACACCCCCTTTGGATGTCTCCAATAAAGAACTTTTATGATGGGAGAGCAGAACATTTCCAGGAACAATTTTAATATCTGAGGCTGTAAATCTTGGAGATTAACTCTAAAAAAAAACAAAATCCATGGAATGCCCTTCCAGGAACCACAGGATTGCAGCCTTCAAATCTAATTCTTTTTTTTTTCCCCCACATAAAAACTTTTTTCAGAAAAGTTAAGTCCAATTTCAGATATATAATTAGTGTAATTTTACCTATTTCTTTATACTATAGGGTTTGAAAGCTTAGCCAATGATGATCAGATTGCACTATTAAAAGGTTCTACAATTGAAGCAATGTTTTTACGCTCAGCACAGTTATACAATGAACAAGGGATTGAATATCAGACACCATTTAACGAAAGTAAGTTTTAATACTAGCATTTTTATTTGATGTGTATAATGAAGTGGCCCAATGCTTATTATAAACCTTATCCCATCAGTGCCCTTTTCTTTGAGTAACTGTTTCCTTTAACATTTATTAAGCATTATTTTTGTAAATCTGACTTAACCTGTTAAAAATATTTTCTCCTTTATTGTAGATCATATAAAATTTTCTGACCATACTATATGTGGTCAAGATAAAAGTGCTTATTCCATAGAAATGTCTCATACTGAAGAAAGTCCAACATCTACTAGTACAACAGGTAACTGGGCCTTGATATATATTTAATAAATGGTTAAATAATTATTTAACTTAAATATACTGTGGTTTCAGAAAAGTAAATATCTTGAAAATTCTTGTGTTATTGAATTTTCAATAGTGGGGTATCTCCCTGTCATATTTTTGGTTTCAACCAATTCTCTGTTTGGGTTTAGCATCTTGATACTGCCACTATTTAAATTTTGGCTTTCTTAAATCCTAGAATAATCTCTGGCCACTTCAGCCTTTATTTGCCTTTTTTCTAGTGTCTATTTTACTTTGTTGAAGTTTCTTTTTATTTCATAGCCTTGTTTCTCACATGGTTCATCACCCCAACTGTTAATATATTCCATGATCTCCTCATTTTTTTTCACTGACTTCTAATAATTGTCATTATATAATAATAAACTCTTGCTTAGTATTTTTTTTCTCATTCTTCCCACACTAGTGGATGAGGTGGCAGTGTGGGTTTCATTATTTTATGTTCATATAACTTCCAAGGACTTCCACTGCTTTATTTTTCTCAGACTTAACTTTGGAATATTTTTCTTCTCACCCACTACCTGGAAAACCTTTGGTGCTCTTTTTTTAAAGGCTTTGTTTCTTAATTTCTCATTTTTCATTTAAGCTTTTTCTGTTGAGTTTTAAAAGTCTTACCTTTTGCCTACATTTCCTTTTTTCTCTCAACATACGCCTAGTTTTCATTGATTAAAATTTTATCCATCATTCCGAGTCCTCTAACACATGATTCTTTATTTCTGACATCCATTGTGACTACTCCCATTAACCTATTTAAAATGCCAACAAAACTCTTCACAGAAACATTTCTGAATGATTTTTGCCCATTTATAACCCAATACTTATTTTAAGAATGAATCAATAATATATTATTTAGCTATCATCTGATATTTTCTGTTTTTTTTTATAGGTATAACTGAGGAGTTTATCACTGCATTATTTTATTTCTACAGAAGCATGGGAGAACTTAATGTGACTGCAGCAGAGTATGCATTACTTGTTGCAACTACTGTGTATTTTTCAGGTAGTTTAGCAATTATTTAAAAACAAACTTCAGATTTTAAGAATGAGAATTGTACTTCACTTTTCAGACAGCTATAATTTTTCCACATTTTGATAACAGATTTTTCTAAATGATTTATTTCTTAAAAGGTTATAACACCATATTATTCCAATTCTGCTGAAATTTGCAGAAATTAGTGTAAAAATCTGAATGGGCATAAGAGACTTCTTGAAAACTTGTAGTTAACAGTGCAAAAATATATAGTATTCTCCTACCAAACATGATTTCTACTTAAGAATCCAACACTGTCTCCTGGATATTGCCTGCTAGCTGACATAAGAACACAAAGTGAAGCATTCTGTCATAAGGATAGGCAAGCTGGTTTTGGATTCAGCTGCTCTGTTACTTTGAGATAGCCTAATCACAGTTCACGTTGCAACTGACAAAGATACTCTGTTTTGCCCAAACTCATGTGTATTTTTCTACATAAAAAATCATGTTCATATTTTTCAGATCGACCACTCCTAAAAAACAAGCAACATGTAGAAAAACTCCAGGAACCTTTTTTAGGAATTCTGTACAAATACTCAAAAATCTATCACCCTGAAGAACCACAACATTTTGCCCGTCTCATAGGGCGGCTCACTGAACTCAGAACACTCAATCACAACCACTCAGAAGTACTAGTAACATGGAGAACAAGGGATCCTAAGCTGACTTCTTTACTTTGTGAAATCTGGGACTTGCACTGAAAAATTGCTAATTATATGAATTGTTACAAAGGGCTGTTTTTCTCAAACATGCTATTTCTTAATTCTTACACTTTTATTTTAAGAAATCATTTATGTTAAATGGCTTATATCTCATAAAAACTGTTATGATGACTATTCAAAATACTAGTTTGTGTTGTGAAAGCACATATATACATTTTTTGTTAGGCGAAAAACATGAAAATGTGTGCAATTTATTGACAGAATATTATTGCCATATCTGAAAAGACTTATGGAAAAAACATTTAAAATGTTATCTGTGTTAATGTGGTGAGAGGAGGGTTGCAATTTCCCACATGGATTCAGACTGGCCCCTAATTTAGTATTTTATATTATTATATTTCATAAAGAAAGAAAGAAAAACCCATGGTTATAGGAAGAATGTTTTATAGTCCATGTGATACACATACCTGACATTGCAGGTATTACAATCTGTAATATTTGGGTACACTGCATAAATGATTAAATTTCCTATTTTACACATATGCATGCCCCAGCCATGTCATTCACATATGCATGCCCCAGCCATGTCATTCACATATTTATCTTGTTTGCCAAAGCTGAATACTCACAATAATTAAACATTAACATTTAATAAAATTATTTCACTTCTATGTGAAATGATGTTGGGGTTGGACTATTTTAGAAGTATATTTTAAAACTGAGATGTCAACTTTTCCATACTCCATTGAAAGTTTAAATTAAAAGGATTTCATTTGTGAGTATAACTAAGATTTCCAGTGATTTTCAACAGGATACTGTATATAAGATAAAAAATTATTGAGCTGACCTTGACTCCTGGAGACTACATGCAGACAACAATGTTGCTTTTTCAGCAATAATGGAAGTGACTTTCACTGCATTCTTCTGGGATATTGGGTTTGTTTGTTTCTTTTCACTTGTCAGTCCAGCCCACAGCCCTGGGACTTTCATCCTCTTCTATCCAAGAACTAACCAGGTTCTATCCTGCTTAGCTTTTTAAGATCAGTCATGTTTAGCTAGATGCTGATATCTGCTTGGATTTCATGGTTTAGTTCTAGAGGCTAATTCAGACTGATATTAATGATTTATAGTAATGTTCTGTGATAAATAATCCCCAACTTGTCTTTTCATATAATTTCTCAATTAAAATAGCTTTCTGATAATTACTATTATTGTAGTTTTCAAGGTATGTCTTAAAATGTTGATGTTTTTATATTGGAAATGTTATGTTTGCATTTAAGAATTATTATTCATATCCAAAATAATATTGGGTAAATGACATCTGAATATAAAGCTAATGTTTTTAATAATGAAGCATTTTGTTTAGTGCAATATTTTTCAGGTATATATTTAAGTGTAATAAATGCACTATCAGTCTGATTTTCTGCAGCAAATGAATTGATTTTATATGCTTAATTGGGTCAAAAATCTTTTTTCTAAAATACATTTGTACACATTTAAAATAGTAGTCTTCTAATTTAAAATCATATTGTATTATCTCAAAATTTGGAAGAAAAAAACAGACCAAAGGTAGAAGAGTTTAGAACTAAAGGAAAAAATTGGCTAGTCACATCTGTTAGATCTACCTAAATCATACATATTACATTATATTACTCTATTCTTGTTTAAAAGCCAAACTAGGCATGATGATTGGAAAAACTGTAACATGAATGTATCTCTACAGTATTGTTTTTTGCCACCTTTCACAAGTAGTAGCACAGAAGGCTGCTACTGGATGGTACATTCAGAGGTTCTATTAGTCATTCCCCATAGTGCAATTTCTGTAAATAAATACCACCCAATTGCTCTCTTTGTTGGTGGGAAAAACATACATTGCACATCTTCATTATCTTGTCTAGCTTGTCTGTGCGCAGATTCTCTAATGCTTCCCAATTCGGTGCCAATGAAATCTGCTTCATGTCTCCTTTTCGGCTTGCTCCACTTCTAAATGCAAGTGATGAGCGAGACCTTGATTAATTTGCTTACAGTACACTATCTGCTAATGTTAAGCAGCCTTACTTATCTGAAGGGTAGTTTACCCTGACTGGTAACGGCTCTCCAGAACTGAACGCGGGACGTGAAAGAAGGTCAACTGCTTGTAAAGGATCACGGGGGGAGGGGCGACTGGCCTATCTGTTCGGCGGCCATGTGATCCCCTGGTTAACGAGATACCGATCCTTCTTTATCTTTAGGCGGACGCAAGGACGGCTCCCCACCCCGCCCCCTCCCTTTCCCGAGTTCCTCTGGAGCAAAAGGCGTTAAACCGTCGGTCTGCGGCTCGCGCTTTGCACACGGCTCATGGTCGGTCTATTTCCCGCCTTTTTCTTCTTTATTTGCTCCAGTGCTTGAGTCTTTACACTCGGTGCCGCTGTTTGAGGTAATAGTAACTCATTCACGCACGCATCTCCCCCCCCCCGCTCGCCTAAGGGCTGCTTTTGGATCCCCCTTTCTCAGCGCCTTGTGGTGACCGCCTTTCTCGGTCACTTGTGGTGTCTCAATGTGGGACGTGTACGGGAGTAACATTTTTCATAGTGAGAACGGGATACATACCTGTGATCTTTTCTCATGACTGTACTTTAAGAGCTTTACTGTTACGGATGCTATTGCACGATGAAAAGAATGCTTAATAATTGAAATATTTGATAATTATTGTAGGTTATATATGCCAATTAATAGCGAAATGGATGAAGTATCAAATTTAAAAAAATCTCTGCCACAAAACCTAGGCATGTTAGAAATGTAATGTTTGGTATTTGCATTTCATTGTCGTTGGAATGTAAAATATACGTTTGGTTAAACTTGGTTCTTGATTTCATCAGTAATGTTGACAAGTGACACATGAATTCAGACTAAAGTAAAGCATTATCCGAACATTATTATTTTTATGCTGATTGGCTTTTCAAAATATATGCTGGGAGATTGAGAAACGATCTAGAAATCCATGTCTGAGAGAGACTAAAGGAAGAGGAGAGAGAGATAGACAAGAACAAATAGAAATGAATTGCATTTATTTCAGTTACACATATTAACTTAGGACAGTCCTAAAGGAGATTGATCCAGAAATTTCACTGAACTCATTGCGATTCATTTACAGGTAAATAGATTGTGGCTTTAGTTACAGTACTGTGACTATGCTTTAAAGTAAATCACTTTATAAGTCCATCATTAATTCCTGACAGTTCAAAGGCAGTTTCATTATTATATTTTGATTGAAAATAAGCTTTTGTACTTGCTTCTGTCCCTCTAGGTAATTTTTAGACTTTGTGGTCTTATGCCTGCGCTTTCTCTCCTCTTTCTCATGATTCCCATCTAGTCTTGCCAGATTTGAAAGCCCTCCTTTCATTTTCTGACAAGGGCCCTGGATTTCTACCCCCACATTTCTGTTTTATTAACACCATAATATTCCTCACTAAAATGTCCAGAAAGAAATAGTAACCTTATGGAGAATTTTGACACATAATAATGAAACCTATGCAAGATAAAACCAGCTTTATCCAGAAAAGTATTTTCCAAAAAGCTGTAATACCATCTAAACATTTTATTATTTAATTATGTGTTTGTTTGTTAATCTGTTCCATTTGTATGCTGCTGAATCTGCCAGGGGCTCCCAGTGATTTACAAAAATAAATCAACAATGAAAACATCCATGGTAAACAATGTTTTTCTTCACTTGAATGACAATAATGAAAATTCAGTATAATAAAATGTTTGATTAGAAATAAAAATGTTTTGTATTAAGAAATTGAAAGAACATATTCAGGCAATTCAAAAGATATCTCTAAATTGAGGATCTAGATAATGATAGTTAAATGTATGCATCTTACATAAAGCAGCTTACTATGATCTTATGTTCTAAGATCCCTATGTATATGTTTGATCCCAATCTGTGTCACTGCCTCATGAATAATAATTTATTTCATTGGAATTGGTTTTTTTTTCCTGTTAAATACTGTATAGGCAATGCATATTCTCTTAACCTTTTCTCCCATCTATTAAAGATGTAATAATGCTGGCCTACTATGTAGGATTATTGTAAGGATTCCTGGGATTGTATAAGAGTTCACACTGATCTGTAGAGTATGAAAAAGTACAAAGAAAAGCAACCTGGTATAATATGTATAATAAAGTATATAGCATTGCTAACAATATTTTGAGATTTTGAGCCTGGTATCTTTTTAGACTGAGAAAGTGGAAGAAGAAAAATCTTTTAAATTTAAATTGTTTGTACCTCCAAGACTGAGTAATACCCAGGTATCTGCAGTCAAACCACAGACAAGTACACGAGATGGGGGATTTTTTCAGGTAAATACGGAACTATTCTTTTTTTTAAGAACATGCAGAAAAGTTTTGGTTTAACTTGTAAAAACTGGTCAAAATTTGAATAGAAAAAAGCTTTTTTTAAAAAAATATCATTTATCATTAAAAATTCAGCATATGAAAACTTTAGAAATGAAATAAAACATTTTGCATTTAAAAATTACCATATTCAATTACTAAAGGTTTGGCCCTAAACTGAGGATCTAGATAGTCCTTGGAGAAATGTACTCTTTTCTAGTCTTCTGGACTTCCTGTATTCCGGGAGTTCTCGAAGATTATAGTCATTGATTCTGAAATTACATCCTCCAGTTCCTTTAGCATCCTGGGATGTAATCCATCTGGCCCTGGTGACTTGAATTCATTCAAAGCTGCTAGGTATTCTTTTCTACTCCCTTACCTACTTTGACCTGCATTTCTCTTCTGCCTCCCATGGTGCAGCTTCTGAGAGGTTGCTCCACTTTTCCTTTTGTGGAAAGACAGATGCAAAATAGGAATTAAGCAGTTCATCCTTCTCCCTGTTGGCTGTCACCATCTTGCCATCTTCTTCAACCAGCTAACTAATAATTTCATTGACTTTCCTCCTGTTCAGCACCCAGTCAAATAATCCTTTTTTGCTATTTTTGGTGATATCTGCAAGTCTTAGCTCATTCTGAGCCTTAGCCTTCCTGATCCCATCTTATAGATTAAGGCTATTTCCTGATATTCTGCTTTTGTTATATGCCTTTTTTTCATTTTTTAAATTTGTCTTTTTTATTTCTCAGTTTATCATAGAGCATTTTTATGCAACACGGTTTTGCCAGTGAGCCTGGAGATCCCAGGTCAATACAGAGCCCATCAAATGGCTAGTGTAAATGTGTTGTTGTACCAGGGGGTGGGGGGTGTAGTGGGTTTTTGTATTTGGGATTTTTATTTCTGTAAGCCACCCAGAATCACAGTGAGTGAGATGGATGGCCATATAAATTGCTTAAATAAATAAAATAAATAAAACTATACCAGCCTCATCAGCCGTCTCCCATTTTTATTTCTGTTTAGTATTGTTTGTATTTGGGCATTAATTGTCTCATTTTTCAGAATTTCCAACTCT